CGGTATCATCATACTGATCATAAAAATGCTCATGTTAGCATGTGGCCAACGGGTACCCTTTCTTTTTATTTAATCTAATAAATTAATGACAAGTCTAATTAAAGAATTAAATGGAGCATCAGTCTGGTAAAAAGGATTTTTGGTTAGACGATTTCTATGTTAAGGGGAAGGGGTTAAATTAGCCTCTAAAATGAAATGATAATTCCGCATTCTTATTGCAAATAAATTAGACATCAGAAGTCCACTTCAAAAGATGATTTGACTACTGCTTAAAATTTAAGTGGACTCCTGTGAATCAGATTTTTGTATGAAAAAATTTCTTTTACAACCCTCAATTGACCCCAGTGATGAAAAAGAGAATCCAGAATCCGTATTGCACATTATAGAACACCACCAAATGGCACCAATCATGGCTACAGCGTAAAATGTAAGATGAGTTCTCGGAAATAGTTATTGCTGATTTCCAAACCTTTAAAGAAAATAAAAATACCAAAACCTTATTGCACGTCTACAGGACACCACCTTATCATATTCCAAAACATGATATGGCTACGGCGTAAATCATTATCTAAGCGTTTGTTGACGAAGATATTGTGACAGACGGATAACGACAATATATTCGAACTATCTGTAGAAAGTGCGGAGCACGGTCGTCCAAATTCAGTTCAGTTGTACATGTGCCAAATGTAAAAGGTGAAGATAACGAACAGTGATTGATCTAAAAAGAAAATGCATAAACAATACAAATATGTGAAGAGGGCATAAAACACGGACCCCCTGTGAATTCCAGAGGTGGGATCAGGTGTCTAGGAGGAGTAAGCATCCCCTGTTGACCGGTCACACCTGCCGTGAGTCCTATGTATTGATCAGGTAGACGGAACTATCCGTAGTCAATTCAGTACAAAGTCAAAGGCCAAACAAGTCAGCCAAAATACGACCAAATGATAGGTTGTATTTGCTGACAAGGTCATCATACCAACCATAGAACTTACGAAATGCTGACTTTAAACGAGGCTGTTGAAATCCTTGTAACATCAACTTATCAGTGAGTAGGCTGTCTCGCTTTAAAAATTGTTCGTACTCAGAGGAAAGTTGACGATGGAAAAGCTAAAGTTATCTCGTTTGTCATACAATTTAGTTGTTAATTGGCCTTTATCGTCTATAGTCAGTAGAACATCTAAATATGATGTGGCAGACTCTATGGTGTCTTTTACTTCAAGTTCACTGGGATATATAGAGTCGACATACGAATGAAAATAACTATTGTTAATTGATAAAACATCGTCCATATATCTGAATGTCGAATTGATGGCCATAGCTAGTGTTTTCCTCTTCTCATGAAACAGTTTTTGAATAAATTCTGTTTCATAAGAATATAAAAACAGGTCAGCTGATAAAGAAGCATAAATAGTGTCCATCAAAATTCCAACAGTTTTTTGGAAATTTTGGTCTCCGAAGACTACATATATGTTGGCAATGAGGAACTCCAGCATCCTTTTAATATCAACTTCAGAGTACTTGTGTGTACAATCAGAGTGATTTTAACTAAGTAATTTTGCTGATGACCAATCACCAGATGTGAAAGTTTCCGAGTTTCGTTTTTATTTAAGAAGCCGTTGTCTATGATATCAAAAAGTCTAGTTTTTATAATTTATCGTGAGGAATTGTTGTATAAAGTGTAGAAAAGTCTTAAGTTTTGATGTAATAGACTTTTGAAAAATTTGGTGATTTTAAATTTTCTAATAGTTCTTTCGAGTTTTTTGAGGATACACATCTGATTAACACCACTTCTAGAAGAGCTGTAGCACAGTACGACTTAAGATTCTCCTTTACAGCAGTTAATATTTTTGTAACGAGTATAGATAAGGGCTTGGTAGAGCATTTGCTGGACTCAGCAATGTATCTTTTTATGAAGTGTAGGAATCTAGTACAGATAGGGTAGATCGAACTCACCTCGGTTGACTGGTATATTAAATGTATTAAACACTGAAATATGACTTTGACGAATTTCTTCTTTGAAAAGTATGTAGGATTTCCAGACAGAGAATTAAAACCAAGTTCTTCCATAATACAATTATAATAATGAGCATAACAAACAAAAACAGTATTGATACCTTCCTTGTCTGCTGAAACCATAGCATATTTTTTCGTGAAGTCGATCTAACTCTTTCATATCACTTCCAGTTTAGTTTTAAAAAACGGGAGAAGCAGTTGGTAGATAGTTCGCATTTTTCCTTTTAATTTTCTAATACGATTCTTTAATATATTTCTAAAACACTTAATCCACTCTGACAAACTTAAGTCTTCTTGTCGCATACAAAATACAAAATGCAATATTTTAAAGTGCTTGATATACAAAAGGAATGTTTTATTTCAAAGAATGAAGATATATTAACCTGCAAAAAAAATTCAACGTGAAATATGCCATTATAACTCAAGAGAGACATTTATTATTTTTAAACATATTTTTTTTTTCAAAAATAAAACCTAAAAAAATCTTCGTATCTTTTAAAATCAAACAAAGGATACAAAGTGTAACGTAAATCTTCAAATTAATTCTGCACAAAATTTAACAAAAGAACAAACAATGATAAGAAGAGTAGGATGGGTATCGCCAAAAATTCTGTTTCATAATATATAATTTTTTCCAAAAATACCATGATAATATCATGAGATTTTCAAACATTATTTATTACATGAATTTCCAATATTTTTCTAAAATATATAGTATGAAAACAATCAGAGAGAGTGAAGAGAGTGATGATAGTGGAAAAAGTGAGAGTGATATAAATTAACTATAATAAATTAACTAAATCATCGTTTGGAATATGATTGTTTGTGTCCTCTAGATTTGCAAAAAGGTTTTGGAATTTCTGATGGCCAATTTAGGGTAGAAAACGGGGGATTTCTATAAAAACCTGACGGTAATTTTGTCCCCGCTTTCGCGAAAGCAAGGGCACATTAAATCTCATTCGCTTGTCAGTCTGTCACAAAAAAACTTTAACCGTGGTCATAATTAGACTGAGAAGAGATAGGACTTTCATATTTCACATGTAAAATTACCTGTGACAAGGTCTTTCCAAATATATTTTGACTTTTGACCCCATGACTTTGACCGTGAAGTTTTACCTACATTTCAAAAATGTTATCTTTGGCTATAATTTTGATTGAAAAAAAGATAGGTCTTTTGTATTTGACATGTACATTACCTGTGACAAAACCTTTTCAAATATACTATGGTTTTTGACCCCCTGACCTTGAACTTGAAGTTTGGACTACTTTTCAAAAATTTTAACATTAAATTAGTAATAAAATTTGAATGAAAAAAAAAAGATACAGCTTTGATATTACATATGTACATTACCTGTGACAAGACCTTTCCAAACATATTATGGTTTTTTACCCCGTGACCTTCACCTTGAAGTTTGAAATACTTTTCAAAAATTTTATCTTTTACATTTGATTAGGAAAAGATAGGGCTTTCATATTTGACATGTGCATTACCTGTGACAAGATGTTTCTGGGCATACTATGATTTTTTACCCCTTGACCTTGATCTTCATGTTTAACCTAATTTTCAAAGATTTTAACTTTGGTGATTACTTTTGACTGACATGTGATAGGGCATTCATATTTGAGAAGTGCATTACCTGTGTCAAAATGTTTTCGAATGTGCTATGATATTTGACCTCGTGACCTTGTCTTTCAAGTTTGACCTAATTTTCAAACATTTTATCAGTGTTGCTAACTTTTGAAGGAGGGAAGATAGGGCATTCATATTTGACACGTACATTAACTGCGACAAGCATTTCCAAATGTACTATGATTTTTAACCCCATGACCTTGAAGTTTGACCTAATTTTAAAAAAATTTAACATTGCTGATACTTTAGAATGAGAGAAGATATGGCATTTACATATGACATGTGCATTACCTGTTTCAAGACCTTTCCGATTGTATACTCTGGTTTCTGATATTTTTTCATATGTGCATTACTTGTGTCAAGACATTTCGGATTGTATTATGATATTTGAACTCATTGACCTCATGACCTTGATTTTGAAGTTTGATGTAGTTTTGAGAAGCTATAATCTTTGCCATATCTGTTATTTATTCAATAATTTATGTCTTTTTGTAAGATGCATAGACAATACAGTACGCACAAACAAGAAAGTTACAATATGCTATGAATAATGGCATCCCATTCACTAAGAAACCGAAAGAGGGGGACCACAATTCTTTGATTTTGCTTATTAGTCATAGCCATATCATCTTTTTTGGAATAAGGTTGGTGTTGTATTGTAAAAGTGCAAAAAAGTAATGGGATTAAAATTAAATTTTTCATTCTAGGGTCCAATTGGGAGTTGAGAAGGACGATTTTCTACAAAAGCCTGGTTCCCAGAACTGTTCTTACATTTTATACAGAATCTAATTCATCTTTTTTGAATATGACTGGTGGTGTCCTGTATATGGACAAAAATCTTTCGGAATTTTCACTTTGGACGTCAATTAGGGGGCAAAAATATGACACCTATCCCAAACTCTTTTTATTGAATGCTTCATTAAATCCTTTTATTTCAGATAGCTCATGAATTAACTATTATATGAAACATAACAGCTCAAGGGCCACACACTCATCTGAGCATGTTCAATTTGATACAAGGATATTTCTGTAAATTGGCTTCTTTGCTCATTACCCAGGTATAAAGCTTAGTATACTTATGTGTGTGAATTACTGTCCAGGTATAAAGCTTAGTATACTTAGGTGTGTGAATTACTGTCCAGGTATAAAGCTTAGTATACTTATGTGTGTGAATTACTGTCCAGGTATAAAGCTTAGTATACTTAGGTGTGTGAATTACTGTCCAGGTATAAAGCTTAGTATACTTAGGTGTGTGAATTACTGTCCAGGTATAAAGCTTAGTATACTTAGGTGTGTGAATTACTGTCCTTTGACAGCATCTCATCTCATGTTTGCTGTAATCAAAAAATCACATAAATAAAGGTTTTCATTTTATTCTTTTTAAATACCTACTATATTGTTATATAATAACTTACATATGAATAATAGTGTATGAATTTATCCTTTTACAGTAAACTACTTTCAATTGTTTATTTTTAGCTCTATCAAAATAAATCACAGTGGTGTTTTTCAAAGTCAAACACTAACCTAACATATACATGTAAAGCATTCCTAAAACAAGTCTTATCTACATGTATATAGATATAAAAATAACTTCAAAACAACCCACAATCTGCCATCACAAAATTAATTAATTTCTCTAAATCAGATTGAAACAAACTCTGTCTAGATTCAGAATCTTTGTATTTAGAAGCTTATGTTGTCTTCCTTTAAGGATATAATTTTTTAACAATGTGTACAAAAAACAAAGTGCACCTTCTAACAATATCTCACAAAAAATGCTGCCCGAATAAAATGCCATCGGAGTCAACAACATCAACTTGTGAATTTACATACATGTACAGTGAATCACATATTTGCTTAGGGGTTTTATTTTTTGTTGTTTTCATGGTTGAAGAGACCCATGAACTCCTGTTCTCCAAAGCTAAAATTTCTAATCAAAGCAATATTAAGCTTCTTAAATCATGAAAATAAATCCCCTCAAATCAATATTTTTTCCTCAAACTATGAAAAATTGACCCCACTAAAATAAAGTGATTTTACAGTACCTGTTTATAGAGCACAAGTAAACTCTGACAAATAACAGATCACCTTAAGCACAAGTCAAAAGGCTAAAGTTCCTACGCACAAGTCAAAAGGCTAAAGTTCCTATGCACAAGTCAAAAGACTAAAGTTCCTACGCACAAGTCAAAAGGCTAAAGTTCCTATGCACAAGTCAAAAGGCTAAAGTTCCTATGTCATGGTGTCACATCCTTTATATTTTGTAATCATGGAAAGGCTCATATGAAATTCACCTATTTGGTTTCAAATTAAGCATTAAATTTGCTTTAGTTTGTGTTTGCATGACATATACAGGTATGTCAAAAGAAGGAAAAAAACCAACATAAATAGAAGTATGCATGGGAACTAAAAAAGCATTGTATTTATATTAATGTTTACAGCAGATCTGACATCTCATCTACATTGTAGTTTAAATTCTACTTCTCTGAAAAAAATATGATATTTAATGTATTTCATGCTGAAATCTAGTGATTACATCATGATGGTTATACAGTTGCTATAACAAAATGAATATATACCAAAGAGTAAGGTTTACTACATAAAAACAAACAATTACCAAGCCTATATGTGAAGCAACACAGAATACATCATAAAATCTACATGTGTATCAATGTATAAGTGACATGTACAAGGGAGGGGGTAATAATTCAAAATATAGTGGGACGCAAAGAGGAATGAGTATATGATTTATAGAGGTATGTCAAGTCTATAATACTTTATATATACATGTATGGTACTACATCAGAAAAACAGGAATGCAGCATTTTATCCTGATTATATTTTCCCATTTTCACCTTCATAATGATCAAATTTTAACCTTAGCTAAATTCATAAAGGGGTTAAATATACATGTAAGTCAACCAACACTACTGAAAAGGGCTAATCTGAATTAAGATAAAATTGTTAACACTGCAAGGAGGAAAAGATTTCCAGAAATAGAGTGATTCAAAAAAGTTTGTCAAGGATTTATAAAACTTCACTTTCTTCAAACTACAACAAAATTTGAACATTCATATATTTGTAATCCATTTGATACATATAGAGCTTCCATCGACCATGCAATAAGAATTACATGTATTTTCATATCAAATTCCCTATAATAATGATAACTTTCTTCAAATCAGATTTCCACAAATGTGTGTTGATAATCATGGATTATACAAAATTTTCATAAATGATGCACACAGCATAGTCTTAGTACATCCAAAAAAATCTCTAAATCTACATGAAGTACAACAGCAGCAGTAGTCCACAATAGAGTCGGTAAATGAGCTTACCTTTTTGTTATCACAGGGGTCTAATCACTTACAGATCTTACCTTTGTATTATCACAGGGGTCTAATCACTCACAGATCACTATAAGGCACTTTATTTCTCCTAGGTAAATTATGATCATGGCCTTACTCTTGCTATAAAACAAAGTCCAATAAATCTGGCAATTAGATTTCACTGATATCACTCTGAAAAAATATGGTATACATTCAGTATATTATTCACCCAAATAAAGATGGCCTCATATTCTGAGCTGTTACAGGCACCTACAAAACTGTTATCTTAGACCGGGAGTATTGTGAATGAAATGTCGGGGATGAGTAAAATTTTCTTTCAAATATGTGCTGTCCAATAGATACTATAGTTACATGTATATATAATTATACATATTATAAAGAGTGTTATCAGTAGCTGTTCATGAGTAAAACTAACATACAATACTGAATATAATTATAGAGAATACATATTATATTCTAATAACATCTGTTGACAATATATCTACTAGCCATATAAAACACTTTTTTTTCTTCTGATAATAGCAAAAAATCAATCCAAAGAAACAAATAATACATCACAATCTCAATACAGAGAGCAAATCAATTCAGAACAGCGATGCACCACTATAGGTTTAATCTAACTCAAAAACTCAATGTTTCACCACAGGAAAGCATCTCGAGATCGAGTTGATGAGTTAAGTTGCCTCTCTCTCCTAGCGTCCTCTGCGACAGCTTCCTCATAACTCGGCGGTGGTTCATTGTTATAAGGTGGCAGCTCTATGGCCATTGTGTAGTTAAAGATGTCAGGTGGTAGTTGATTCTCTGATCTTTCTTCCTGCAAATCATCCTCCTCATCATCATCAAACTCAAAGCTGTTGACAGATGAGACAGAGTGTCTCTCTGTATCGCTTCCCACTGGGCTATCATCGTCAACATCATCTGTGTCTTCAACCTCCTCTGTCAGATCAACATTGTTATTTGAAGGATTGTTTACAGATGAATGTGCAAACTGATGTAAGTGGTTTTGAAGCCAACATTCATGAGAAAAATTCTCCACGCTTTGTCCCCTTAGAATCTCAGAGTGTGAAACAAGAGCTAAACATTTTGGCACATGCTCTTGTGTCTGGTGCAGAAATGGGTTGATAACCGAGTGAAAGGGATGAAAACGTCCTGCACGGCTCACTCTATAGAAGGGGTTCCATCGGAGATTACTCAAGCCATGCCCTCCAGCTAACTCTGTAACCCCTCTAGCGTTACTGTCCTCAAAGGTACTAAAGTGCCTAGACTGCCTCGACCGTCTCCAAAATCTCATATTGTTTTTTCAAATTTATGCTTTGTTCTTTTCCACTACATGTCGTATCTCTGAAAATATTTGGATTTTTTTTAAAAAGTTGTACATATATCATCAAATTAGTGACCTCACAGTCACCATTAATTATTCCTATAATGTTTAAAAGCATGAATAAATGCATCAAATTTTAATCATATGAAATCATTGGTACAGGGCATGTCGACTTGCTTGAATGCTGTTAACATGTTTAACATTTTGTAAAATCATTGGAATGAAAGCATTTCTTGACAGATTTTACCACAATTTTCTTGATAATTCAAGAATTTGTTATTTTTGATAAAAACAATAGTTTTTAATATCTGATCAGCATCGGTGTTTAAAAAATATTGTAATTTAAGTGGGACATGAAAATTTAAGTCATATACGCACAATGAATTATATAGTCAACATTGATCTTGAATTTTTAAAACTGATGCAAATGATGAACTATCTTTTTCTAAAAACTAAATATGTAATGTTCTTTAGAAAAAGAAAAGTACACATTTTCTGGTTTAAGTACTGAAATAAATACTAAAATTGGACAAAAATTGACCATTTGCCTATATTTAACTATATGTGGTGTTCAATAAAATATATAGAGAGAAAAAATAAAAATTATCTTCACTTTTGGCGCAGATTTGTAGCTTGAATTATCTACATAGCTTTATTTACCCACCTGAAGTACATCAAGTAGCTAAGTAAAGCTACAGTAGGTAATTCAAGCTACGTAGCTAAATCTAGTGATTGTACCAGACCTAGGTTAAAAAATGTTATTACTAACCCTTCATTAAAAACTTATACCTTATCAATAAAAGAGAAAATATTCAATGTTTTATTATAACAATCCTGACTTGGTGACATTTACCTGACGTCAACTAAGAAAGCAACATGCAATCAACGTTACTTCGCAATCTGCATTTGCCATTTCTCTTCCTTGACTGAGATTCGATGTTTGGTTGTTGTTAAAATTAATTGTAGTTAATAATCAAGAAAAAAAGAAGATTACTCCATTATTATTCATAGAAAAATATGAAATAACAAAAACTTTTTGAAATGTATTAATGTATTATTATGGTCCATGTATTTTCCTAAATTATATTTACGATATTCGAAAAACGTCTCCGCTGAGAACGACAGTGGCGCGGCAAGTACGAACTTGCAGTTGCACTGTTGGTTGGAGTTTGTATAGAAACTGCAGATAACATTTATCCTCGCTGTAGGTACTTTTGATATTATTTAAATGAGACGCAGTTTCTTGACTAATTTATTAATGAAATATGTTGTTTTTTTTTTAATTTTAAACGATGCAAGAGGGACTATCGATGATAAGTGTATGCACTGTCTCTCTTCCGAATTTACTCTTTTTTGTTTTTAAATGTGCTGAAAGATGTTTTACAAATTTATCTCATGAATGAGGTTTTTTATGAATGATAATTGAATATTAGTAGTTTTTACATGAGATAGTAAATTGTTCTGTCACTTTCAGATCTGATCATATGATAACTTACTTGGTATTATTTACCATGAACAATCATGATAATTGACTGCATAAACCTTTCCTGCTGTATTTATTTATTATAGGCCCTGTTGACATTTTATATTTTAAAGGTGCTATACCAAGAATATCACCCATGTTTACATGTATAAATGTACAAGTACTGTAGACATCCAGGGGAAAAGATTGCTCGATCAATCAGCTTTTTTTTATTTTAAAATGTTAAACTTTTAAGAAATATCTTAAATGCTACCACAGTTATTGGTGAGATCAAAGAAATGCTGCGGACATTATTCTCCAATAAATCACAAACGTCATCAAAATATTATCAGATCAGAAACACATGTCAAACCTGTACAGTTGAAATAAATATTTCACTGTAGAATCTAATACTTATTTAGACCATATCGATGTGTCGTCTTACGCAGTCTAAATAGTTAGTGTGTATTGCCTGAAACAGCTGATAAATATCCTATTTATAGCCAAGTGGGGCTGTTCCACGGACCTCCCAACAACATATATACTCCGTGATCTTACAGATAAAGCAATGAAATAGACAACTGATTTTGTTATTTTACATTCATAAAAATTAATTAATTAATATATGTTACAAACAAATTTATAAATCATTAAAGAATATTTTTAATCCAGCAAAAGCTGAAATCGTCTGCATTTTATGCAATCAGAACACAAGCAAACAAACAAATTGACTCTGGTGTTAAATGGAACAGCGAAATCGCGACATGGTGACCTAATTCATTTCTCTATAGAGGAAACGATCAGCCACATTTTAGAGCTGTTAGTAGAATAGAAATAAAGTCCTTGTTGTCCTGAATGATGCAGGGTAACCTCCTCGGTCTCGAAATGTTCTCTGAAATATAAAAGCCTCGGCTAACGCCTCGGCTTTTATATTTCAGACAACGTTTCGAGACCGAGGAGGTTATCCTGCGACATTCACGATAATGCGGACTTTATTTCTTAAGTGATATGATTATTATCATTGCAGTAAGTGGAGCAAAACACTACCTGTACTGCTAGCTCTTTCAGCAATGCCAATGTGAATTAAAAAAAATGGGATGTTAAATTAGGACATATTGATTGATTTGAATTTTTTTTCAGAGTGAAGTAGTCCCCTCAATCCTTTGTGAATTGAAAACTATGCTCTCATGATAACCAATCAAAAAGTCAAAAATAAAAAGGGGCTCATCTTCTTGAATGGATATTCACATATTCAACAAGACTGGGTTGTGTGGTCATTCTCACAAGTTTTTTTAAAAGTTTTTAGATAACAAATATTTGGCTCAGGATCTCTGAAACAAAAGAAAAAATAAATAAATTAAGATAGGTGTGAAGGTAGAGCTCTAATCTATTTCAAACAGTTTATAAGGTTCACTCGTTTTGTTCATGTCTTAGATACTCTTATAAGAACATGTATACATACATAAAATTTTGGTAAATTCATAAGAGAAAAGGTCAGAATATACAATTTCATATGCAGTGGTTCTTGCTTAATTATATAATTATGGGAAGCATCTCCATCCAAGTGGAGTGTATGATTATGTAAAAGGATCTTTGAATTCTTAATGATATAACGTTTCTGTATGTTTTATTACTTGCATTGATATATAATTTTGGCACAGTAATCCATATTGAAACATACATGTAGTTTTAAGTCACCTGTTTTGACAATTTTTCTTTTTTTCTTTCAGGTGATGACAGTTCCATAATGTAAATGAGTCAGTAACTGTATTTGTTCTTAGCAGTATGAATAATATCGACTTTAATGGACCTGAGCTCTGTTTGATTGACTCAGGCATTAAGTCCCTCCAAAAAGTTCCCCTGAAACCTCAACTTCAGGTTCTAAATCTACACAGTAACTTCATCCACAGAATTGAAAACCTCATCCATTTAAAGAATCTAAAACACCTAGATTTGTCTGCAAATCAGATCCGTGAAATTGAAGGAATTGAGAGTCTCAGAAATCTCAGAACAATCAATTTGTCATGCAATCTTTTACGGGATGTAAAAGGACTCGCTGGACTGAGGTAAAGTCAATGCTGAGCTAAATATTACCTGGTAAAAGTGTAATATGTTCTTTATAATTTACTTTTTTAGAATCATCATAATCTTCTGTTGTATTAATTCTGCATCATTTTCTTTTTTCAAGGTCCCTTGTAAAGATAAACCTGAGTTATAACCAGATCAGTGACATATCTGGTTTTAAATCTCTTCATGGAACTGATTATAAACTGTCACATATAGAGCTCCATGGAAACAAGCTTACTTCTCTTCAGCACGTAATCAAGTCCCTCATTGGCTGCTCAAACTTACGACAGTTAACACTAAATATGGATGGCTCCACCAACCCTCTATGTTCAGATCTAGGTAAATTATTTACTGTTTGCAATTTTTAAAAAAAATTTTTTCACACAACAGCTGTCTATATATTAAATAAGTTACACTATGGTAAACGGTAAAACACGCTTATAATGAATTGAAGCGTACAGTGAAGTGATTTTTATTCCCCGTGCCTCTAAAATATATTGTGATCTTAACGGATATAACGAATTTCGTTCATAACGAAGCAAAATCGTCTGTCCCTGGCACTTTGTTATAAGCGAGTTTTACTTTATTTATTTCTGTTGTAATTGTATTTTTGAAACACTGGTAGAAAATTTGTGTATGTGATACATGTAATTTGATTCCTTTTCTAAGAAAAATATTTTTTTTGGAGACTAAATTTTAAAGTCATATATGGTGTATTTTTGATAAGTTCAGGTAACCAAAACTAAAAAGATCTTTTTAATTCTTTTATTACTTTATATAAAGATAGGACTTTCCTCTAAATTACACAATTTAAATCAGTCGCACTTCAAACTTATCAATAATTTAAAACAATAACCAATTTATTTACCGACTCCACATTTAAATAACGGACAATTTCAGAGTGAATTTAACTATAGAAAGGTGAGGTTATTCAAGTTAAAAATCGGTGAAAATTTTAATTTGAACATAAATAAAATATATCATGTAAATCAACACACAATCTCGTATCATTATATTTTTTTTAGCTCGGATACGCCTGTATGACTGAGATTTTAATTTTTTTTTGGTTTGATGATCAGCTGTTTCTGATATACCGCACTTGTTTGTTGTAGATCAGTATAGATCCAAGTTATTATCTGCCCTTACTCAGTTAGAAGCTCTAGATGGAGTTAATAGGCAGGGGGGAGCTGTTAGCAGCTTTGATGTCTTATCAGATATCCCAGGTAATAAAGTGTGGAAAAGCTGTCTTTGATTAGCATAATTTTTTCTATAAGATATTGCAGGTACATTTTGACAGAGTAATTCCTTTTGTAGTTTTGGTAAATGTCATGAAGGTTTGATTCTATCATGGAAAAAAAAACCTGTATACACAAAACTTGACAATACAGATTGAAACTGATGGGGATTTTGAGAACAATTCGCCCATAGCCAAAATATTTTAAATTATTAAACATAATATATATCAAGTGTATATAACATCACACAATTTTCACCTGGAAAAGCAGATTGGATTTATTAGAACGTGATTAGTATTGTACTTACAGGACTAGAGGACTACATGGATTTCCTAGTTTCTCAGTCTTCATCATCTCTCTCTGTAAGTGACTCAAAATAACAGTTATTGTTCTTTCCATATACCTATAACTCAAAGTTCTGAACTAGATATCTCTCTATTTGATAATATGGAAATTTAAAACATAAATACATACAATCAATTATGGATATCTTTTTATTAACAAACATAGTGGTGGAGGAGGGGTGTTAATATTATTTTGACAAATGCATCTTGTTTTCATTTTATTTTGAAATTTTGTAGACATATTTTTGTATATTTTTCTTGAATAGGAAAGCAAAACTATGGATGTCATTACTCCTAAGATTGATGAAGCTTTGGAGAAATTCAAACAAAGGAAATCAGGGAATCTATCTACTACAGACATGGCAGTGTCAGATGCCGATACAAGTACAGGGGTCTCTGTAAGTATTAGTGAACCTAAAGTCAGGAACAACAGGGTACCCATAATCAGAAATAAATCTCTTATAAACACATGTAATCTCTTTTCTCCAGGTATTTACTTAATTATTAATATATGTGGAGTATGTCTTGTCTTTTAAACATCACAGAATAAATATTTTGAGTGGTTTTTGCAATCTTGGTTCAGAATGAAATAAAATTAGACATGTACCCCGTAGTATAATTTGTATGAAGAATGAGAATCCTGTGTTTCTATGCCTTGACAACTAGATATCTTATACTAGATTCAAAGTAGGCAGTCTATGGTGGACCAGGAGACCAGGCTAGGATTCCTAGAACAACAACTCGCACAGCTGATCCAGGGGTCAAAGGTTTGTCACTGAATGAAACGGTGTCTTTTATGAATCTTGAGTGAATAAGAATTGGATGGAAATGTGTGATGCTGTGTTTCTTTTGAAATGACACTGGATACTGTTTCTTTCTCATTCCCATGTTCTTGGTGATTGCTTTGTTTTGAAGTCAAAAATTAATGTCATGTTCTGAAAATGAATTGAGAACTTTATTACTGTTTCAGGTGACAGAAGACAGGAAAACACCTGTGACTGTACATGTAGCAAAGAGAGGTTTGTACAGGAAACTGTCATATTAACAGTGTGCCGGATTTTAACCCACTTTCTACTTTTGTTAAATTCAGTGTTTAGGACACAAAATTCTCATAATGTTATAAAGCTTTGATTTTCTGAAACTCTCCCAGTCTTCTTTCATGGTTTTGATTTAAAGTAATAGAAGTCATGTGAACAAGAACCACTGACCACATTTTACAGGAAGGCATAAAAGAGTGGCCTCCCTTAGTTCTTTAGATGTCTGATTGACAGCAGTGGTGTTGTGCCTCGTTAAGTCAGTCCCTTCTGTAGTTATATATAATGTCTGGTAGGAGCTGTTCTCATGTGTCACAGATCCAGAACTATTTGTGTCAGTTTTGTTTATAAACAAGACAAATTAATGTGGTCAGTCACCCAACAATGGCATTAGAGAAAAACTTCTTCAAGAATGTTGATCTGATAATAATGGATCCTGTAGGATATATGGGAATTGAAAATCAGAATGGGCATGAACTGTTCTTGTAACTTAGGTTCAGTTGACAAGATTCATGTTATATATATTGTCTTATGTCAGTGAAAGATTATATAACAAGTTTGGATTTAATAGGGCAAAAAAATTGAGTTACCTTGAGAAATATAATATTAGCCTGAATTATTTTCAAGCTTTAGGTGTTTTGAAACACTACAGATGTATACATTTTTGTATTCCATATGATTGTCTTGATTTTGAAGTGAAGAGATTTTGCACAATATTCTTTATGACTGAGGGATAATTTGAAGAATAATTTTAAGGCATTAATGAAAGTTTTCTGAATTATAGAAAATTCCGTGAAAATGAAGTAAACATGAATGGACAGAATAGGTTTTACCTGTTTTTTAATAGGTAACACTTATTTTCATAAAATGCATTAGGCATTATCCTTTTCTACTTTGGAGATAATAAAGGTATAGTGAAAATGATGTGTGTTATTTCAAAATCTTCTCAGGAACCACTTGAGCAAAAGAGAAAAAAAAATTTTGAAAGATTCCTTATTGAGTGTAGGTTCAAATTTGTTCAAATCTTAGCCTAGAGGGCCAGGGTGGAGTCACAGTGGGGGGCCAGGTTTTCATAGTAATATTTAGGAACATCTTTAAAAATATTTTTCTCAAGAGCAGAAGGGTTGTAGTTAGTTAAATCTCATTGTAGCTTAATTACATTCATATTTAGGTTGGTTGAAATGATGGCCTCTGGGGCTAAGACTGAGCTGCAATATGGGGTCAAAGTTGTTCATGAGAATATATCAAAGTTTTATTTTGGAATATATATGAAAATAACCTTTTATGAATTTTGAGAGAAGAAGGGCCACAATTACTAGTTGTCTGTTTCATGTGCAATTATCCTCATGAAATAATTCAGTTTTGTTCAATTTTGGCCCTCATGTTAGAGAGGGGAATTAAGGTTTTTTGTAAGTATAGAAATCTTCTAAAATCTTAGGAAGAGGAGGACCCAAAGAATGATACCAACATGTGGGCATTCCAACGTAATGTAGATTCAGTTTTGTTCAGAGGATGCCCCCTGAGGCTTTGTTTGGGCCACAACAGTTTTTCAGACTACAGTTTGTAAACTTAAAAAAGCTTTATTTTCTATAAATTAAATGTTTGAAAAGTTGTGACCACAGTTGGAAGATTTCATAAATCTACTTGTTCATTTGTCAGGAAGAGAATGATAAAGACGGTGAGCAATTTGGCCCATAGGTCTTTTGCCAGACTGTATTATGATAAGAGCTTATGCAATAATTAGGTGTCCGTCCTCCATCCATCTGTCTCTAAGCAATTTTTCAAAACACTACTCCTACAGTTTTGGTCTGATTTCAATATAACTTGGCAAATAAGTAGACTACACTAAGGTACATAATTTTATAGGTGTTTGATATCGATGAATGGTGTTGCCATAGTTACTAAAAATAAAAATTTCTGTGAAATACTTTCAAAATGTTACTCCTCCTACAGTTTTAGTCTCATTTCAGTATAACTTTGCACACAAGTAGACTACACTAAGATACATAATTCTATTTATCAGTTTTTGATTTTGATGAACGGTGTTGCCATGGTTACTAAAAATAGAAATTTTTGTAAAATACTTAAAAAACACTACTCCTTCTACAGTTCTAGTCTGATTGCAATAAATCTTACCACAAAAAGAAACTAAACCAGGAATCATTATTCTATTCATTGCTGTTGCAAGTGTTACTTTTCTCTTCCTTTGTTTTAAGTACAAACCAGTAGAGCTACAGTCTCATCAAAGACTTCTGGTTATATGCCTATCTTAAGACAGGACACATTCTTTTATGGCATTCATTTCTGTTCATCTGTTACTTCATCTTCTTTTAGCTTTTAAGCTCACCACAATGAAGTTGGGGGAGCTTATGTAATACCCTCGGCGTCAGTGTCGCGTCCCAGGTTAAGGTTTTTGGAGCAGTTTTCTTTTCAAGTACTTCTATGGCCTATATTAATCAGAGATGCATGGAGGATGCTTCTAGTGTGTTTCATTGTACCAGTCAAGGTTTCAGATGCTGCAATTTCAGCAAAAGAATGACCAGGTTAATGTTTTTGGAGCAGGTTAAAGTTTTTGGAGCAGGTCTCATTTCCAAGAAACTATAGGCCCTATATTGACCAAACTTGCATGGATGATGCATCTAAGGATGCACACTACTGAACTTGCTTCGGATGCTGGATCTGACCTACATTTTCTGGATGAGTGACTAGGTTAAAGTTTTTGGAGCAGATATCATTTCCAAGTAAATTTAAGTCTTGTATTGACCAAACTTGCATAGATGATACATCTAAGGATGCACACAACTGGACTTGCTTCGGATGCTTGATCTGACTTATATTTTCCGGATGAGTGACCAGGTTAAAGTTTTTGGAGCAGATATCATTTCCAAGTAACTATAAACCCTATATCGACTAAACTTGCATGGATGATACATCTAAGGATGCACACTACTGGACTTGCTTTGGATGCTGGATCTGACCTACATTTTCTGGATGAGTGACCAGGTTAAAGTTTTTGGAGCAGATCTCATTTCCAAGTAACTATAAGGCCTATCTAAACCAAACTTGCATGGATGATGCATCAAGGGACGAACACTCTCAAACTTGCTTCAGATGCTGGGTTTGACTTACATTTTCTGGATGAGTGACTAGTTTTAAGTTTTTAGATAAGTCTATTCCCAAGTAACTGCAAGTCCTATCAGACCAAAATTACATAAATATTGCATCTAGGGATGCACACTCCTAGATTATTAGTTTAGTGTGGGACTTTGCCTTACTTAAAGACAACATTCGTTGAGGTGAGCTCTGTAATCTCAGATTACTTATGTTTTCTGTCTGGCTCAGAACTTATATACTCTGAGGCCTAGAATAATCAAACTTTGTCATCTGAATCTGATACATCTTGGGTAGAAGGTGTGTCGCACATTAAACTAGGTCAATGTGACCTTTAATTAAGATGATAAGGCCAAATATGGCAGACCCTGTCCTGCTCATAACTGGAAAACTATTAGACCTAGAATCATCAAACTTGGTCAGTTAATGCGTCTTAGGAAGAAGTTGTATCACATTAAGGTCATTGTGACTTTTGAATAAGGTGATATTTAAAAAAAACTATTTGTTCTTATAAATAAATGCAGAATAGGAGATGCATCGTGAGCCATGGCTGTGCAGTTTATTACATTCAAAGTTTATCTTGGTAATTGTAATCAACAGTCAAGATCCTGTGTTAGTGTACACGTATTATTAAAATTAAGAAAGAGCATTCAAGATTTCATCATAATGACTAATCTAATAAATTTTTTTTGTTTAGATGTAGATACAACAGATGAAAGTGACATTGACTCTCTCTGTCAAAGGAGTAAATCTCCCGGAAATCGTAAAACAAGGAAGTCCCGAATTCCAAGTTATCGTAAAAGTACAGTGGCTTCAAGGTCTCGTAAGGAAGCAAGCAGTCCTAGCCGAGAAACAAGCAGTCACAGTCCAGCAGTTAACAGGTTAGTCCAATAAATAACAGGCAGACACTTCATTAATTATATCGGCATTTGTTATGCCCCGCCATGAATATGGCCGGGGCATATAGTGTTTGTCATGTCCGTCTTCTGTCCTTCCGTCTGTCCTTCCGTCACACTTTGCATTTAGCTCTGTTCAAAGCTCAGTTTCAAAGAAACTATATAAGATATTTTTATCAAACTTCATATGCTGATACATAATGATGAGAGCTATTCAACTGCATCAATATTTTTTGACCTTGACCTTTCCTTTGACCTTGACCTCACTTTTCTTAAATTAGTGTTTAGCTCAGTTTTAAAGAAACCATTCATAATATATTTATCAAACTTCATTATCAAAATTCATATGCTAATACATACTGATGTAACCTTTTCAACTGCATAAACAATTTTTGACCTTGACTTTTCCTTTGACCTTGACCTCACTTTTCTTAAATTTGTGTCAAACTTCATATGCTGATACACACTGATGTAAGAGATTCAACTGCATCAATATATTTTTTACCTTGACCTTTACGTTGACCTCAGGGCTCGACATTAACGCTTGTCCGCTTGCCCGGTACCAGTGAAAAAAAAATACGGACAAGTGAATATTGCTGGGTACTTGTCCGATTGGACAAGTGCATTTTAATGTAAAGGAGTCTCTAACTAATAATAAGAATGACTGTGAAAGATAATCAGTAGTTTCAAGATGGAAGCTGTACATAAAATCCGGACTTCGATCCCGATAGGAATCGCTACTAATTGAGTTCACATTGATTCGGGATCGAAGTTCACTTGGTTCACTTGTGGACATTTATGTTGTCAGGACAGAAAGCCTAGATAAAATTTCGTTTTATGTGTTTGTTGTAAATATCAATGACATCACGAATCAATCAAGCACATGTCATGTGTAATGGACTTTATTTTAGTTTTCAAGTTGACAGTATTAGATCTTTATTGAAAAATTTTCGGACAAGTGAAGTTGAAGTTCGGACAAGTAAATGTCTTGGTCACTTGTCCGAATGGACAAGTAAGAAAAAAAGTTAATGTCGAGCCCTGGACCTTGACCTCACTTTTCTTAAATTTGTGTCAAACTTCATATGCTGATACACACTGATGTAAGCTATTCAACTGCATCAATATTTTTTTCACCTTGACCTTTCCTTTGACCTTGATCTCACTTTTCTCAATTTGTGTTAAAATGTTGCATTACTAATATACCCTCGGCGGGGCATTCATGTCCTATGGACATATTTCTAGTTTTTTCTATAATTAATTATATCGACATTTATTTTTTTCTACCAATTGGGAGTGTTACTGTTACCCATTCAATTAGGTAAAAATAACATTGAAATAAACAAAATGGGAATTTTCAATCATATTAACAGACGTCATATGTCCTTAAATTAATAAGTATTCATGTATGCTTTAAAGAATAAACAACATGAATTCATTGTTTTATATATTAATATCTCTTGTTCTCAAGTTTGTAAAGAGGTCAGTAATATCAGACATGCAGTATATGCCGTTGGGTTGTCTGCAATGTGTCTCGCCACATCTAAACTACTTTCGATTTAAAGGGAAGTGAAAAAAATTAGTCATTTCATACACTCTGTTTGTTTCTTGTCAGTTGAATTGGGAATTTTTAGTCTGAAAATTGGAAAAAAAATCAACATTTTTTGGTATTGGAAATGGTACTGTTTATTGGAACTAGTTATACGAGGGAAAAAACACCTGTATATTGTCTTCATTTCCTATTGCCGGAAATGTCCTATTGAAAGATGAATATAAAACAAAATTATGTCCCTTTAATTTAAGCACTGGTATGAACAGGACTGTTTCTTATTAAACATAATCAAAAGTTTACCTGCATTCAAAGCTGTTGTAGACAAATGATTCTCTTTTGTCTACAGACATATAAATATCAATACACATAAAAGTTGTGTTTGACCTGATTATTTAATGTGGGATAAGTAGTAATTTCCTCTCTAATATCCTTTTGTCATGTCTTGGACGTAGCATTGTGATCTTAACTTCTTGCATTAATTAAAAGCATTTATTTGGGATGATAAAAATGCAATGAAAAACATGGTAGAGTATGTAGCAAAGGTTATCAAAATTTTAAGCATGAATGTATTAGAGACATGACTACATTCTGTATAGAGAGCTCAATCCTGATATTAACAATGTGTCATTATAGGGGAGAATTACTGTTATAGTAACACGTTAATATCATAGGAATATCTAAAATACATGTATAGTCGAGCCTTGTTAATCCGGACATGTGTTCCCAAGCAAATCGTCCGGATAAATGAAGCGTTTGGATTACTGAACATCTTTGGTATATCTAAAAATAAATCGTACCCTACATTAGTAGTGTTTCAATCATCAATAATATTTGAAAATCAGTCGATTGCTGGCATAATCCAAGCGCTCGATTACAAAATTTTTGTTTCGATTAATCGGGTTATTTTTTTTTTTATTTTACAAGCGTAATAGTTTTAAGCCAAATATTCCAGCCGTGACTTATCTATTAACTTATTTGTGTATCATAATGGCACAGATGAACAGACATTGTATTCATGCTCGGGTAACAATGCTCATTCCCGGGTATGGACGTACTTTGGATTCTACAAAATGAACGAAGAACCAGCTGGACTTGATAGAACGTTTTATCGTTAAAATAATATTGTCCTAGGGACTAGGGCTAAAATAATATTGTCCTAAGGACTAGGGCTAAAATAATATTGTCCTAGGGACTAGGGCTTGTCCTGAGACACAGATTATTCTGACTACAGCTGGACCACCACAGAAAGTAGTTATTCACCCATTCTTACCATTTAATAAACTAAATTGACAGACTTTGTAAATATCCGATTATAATAATTATTAATAATTAGTTAGTTACAGTAGCCCGATCATCGATTATGGAGTTCTTACCGATTCCCATCACTACCCTACATATTTTGTCTGGAAGGCAAAAGATACAGATTATTGGTGTCCAGATTAACTAAGCTCATCTGTACAAGGCTGGATTGTATAAGAAGTAACACATAAACTGACAATATTTCAATTCTGTGAATGTCAATTTTCTCAGAACACCTTTATACTTGTGCATGAAATGTGATATACACTCAAACCTCATTATCTCAAATTCAATGGGACCTGGAAGAAACTTCGAGATATTTGAGGATTTGAGATATCAAGGTTTAAATACAAAAAGAAAAAGTGACTGGGACTTCCAAATCATTTCAACATATCCAAGCTATGTGAGATATCAGTGTTTGAGATACCAAAGTTCAACTGTATACCGAGGAATAAAGTAGAATTTAGTATGAAACGACTACCATTGCACAATGAAAAATATTTCCTCAGAACATACTGAAATTAGACTGAAATTATGTTATCTATTACATGGAACTCGAATAAGAAACATGCTAAGCTACTGTACTTTTAAATTCAAAATATACTTACTTTACAATTACATATGGTGCATTTTAATAGTGTATATATTTGATCGTCTTGTTTTATCAATAACTTTATATATATAGGTACAAATTCCAAGCAAATTTTATCATTTGTTACTAACATCAAATTCCAAAGTAAAGTGCACTCAATGAAATCCATATCCATACAAACCATTTTGTAAAATAATGTTTGTTTGTACTTTAATGTGACCCTAACATGAAACAAGGGCACACAGATTTCTTGTTAAATATGAACATATTCACCTTTCATTTTTTGGCAGAAATTCCATCATGTTCAAAATGTTTTTGTCGGTAGGAATTACATTACACTAACATATAAAATATCTGTGTTGCTTCTTCAAAGTGGACGGGGTCCACAATTCAACCGCAGGGTTGGGGCTGTAGTGGGTATCCTTGTGTTACAAATTTTCTTTTATATATATATATATATATTATTTATTTCATCTTTATTAAATGAATATAAATTTATGTATTTGAGTTAGACACTCAAAAGAATCTCTGAAGATAACCTCTGTACAGAGATCATGTGGTGTTCTGACTTGGTTGATTACTCAGGTTAATTAATTGGAATCATGCAGACTAATCAAAATCAGTTCAGTTTGTTATATATACATGTATATATATTTCTTTAATGTAGAGGATAAAAACATGTACATTGTATATGTTTACAGAAGCCATGGCACTCAGCTATTTGTTGATAGGATCTTGATTATAATTTGAAATCATGAGTAAACATGAGATATAATTTACTGAGTTGGAGGTTGGAATGGATACATAAAACCCTCCCTAGTTATTACCATAAACAAGATATCCTGCAGCTTTCTGAGGCCATAAACATGGTACCCACCAAGTTGCTACTGGTCACAGACCGCCATTGGTAGAGTTTCTTAATTTTGATTCATAGATCACATTTAGCAGGTGTCTGGTTAAGTAGCCGGCAACCTGTGAGGTGGTAGTTTAAAAGATATCTACCTGTGGGGGAATAATTAGTCTATTTATAAACATACAACACCCTAATCTGCTGTGTTAGCATTTAAAAGTTTCTAAAAATAGATACATGTATACAGTCAAACCTATATTAAACAACCTATCAGTGGTCACATATGACCCGTAATCTCTCAAAGCAGGGAATCATATTCACTTCATATAAGAACATGCATAAGTACTAAATAGTAATCCATGTACCTTTTATCCAGTTCCCTATGGTCAATTGTTTTCACTCTTCTTGATATTAAATAAAAATATATTCAATAAATGTTTGTTCGTACAAATTGTTTTTATTCCTAATTCGTTGAGTGTAAATTTAATTTTTGAAATAAAATCCAAAATAAATTTGTTTTTATCATATTTCACAACTTTAAGGATGAAAAAAGGTTTCTGACACAATTATGCTCAAAAGGGAAAAAGCACAACTTAAAGAAAACCCAAGGATTTTTTAATGCTCAATTGTATACTCAAATTTACACTTCTTGTCAAAACAATATCAACAATAATCTAATGGTTATATTTTTAATATGTTTTTTTTATTTTGATGTCTCTATTTGAAACCAGATTACACACTATGAAATATTCTATTTAATGAGTATGTTTTTGCATATATTTTTCTGCATATTGAGGGGGGGGGGGGGAGGCAAAACTAAGCATCTTTTCACTTCTGTTATTAGAAGAAGGTCTAAAAGTTGCTAAATTCAGGGTTTAAACTGCTTTAGAACGGAAAATATGATTGTTTGTCACAGTAAACAGAGAGTTGCTGAATGCAGCTAAAATACAACGAAAAATTCTCAGAAGAAAATCAGTAGTCACATATGACAGGAAGTCACTAAATAGCATGTGGTCGCTATGACAGGTTTGACTGTAGATATACACATCTACCTTTTCTATTTTTTTTAATTTGTCAAATGTGATGAGGAAATCCTTTATCAATTTTTCTTTCTATAGATCAGAAGTCATGAATGAGCATCTTGACAATATTATTAAATAAAAGGATAGTTTTTTGTACTTTTCCCATTTTTCCCATTGATATATACTTTTATGCTTCCCCTCTAGCATTTATCAAGTTTCTCAGTGCAAAGTGATTTATCCCCTAAGGTTTAAAACTACAAAAGTTTACAGTCAATTATTGTTTGTTGCACTTTAGCAGAAGAAGAGAAACAGTTTACTTCAAAAAACTGAATGAAGCATCCTTCAAACTAGGAATATGAAGGTTACGCAGGGGAAAAAATTGAATTGAGGCCTAATGTTTAATTTCTCTGTACTTCTGTAAATGCATAAATGTCATGTGTTATTATAAAAAGTGACAAAGATTTGAAAACAGATTACACAGGGAGAATGTTTTTTGATGCAGTGTCTCTGTATTCCAGAATTTATGAAGGCTTATTTTTGTCTGTGTAGAGGACATACTTACTGTCACTGGTCATTGATATCACTGAGTAGAGTGGAATTACGTTAATGAATAATGAAAGAAATGAAATAGACTTTCAAATTTTTGTCAATTAGTTTTTGAAGAAATATCTAATGTAATTTGTAATTATCATAAATTTGCTATAATAATTTGTGGAGATTTCCTCTAAAACTTTCATTTTGAACTTACAGTTAAAAAAATTTGTGATTTAATTCTGTCAGTTGTGAAGAAAATCCCATTGTACATGTGTCATGTTTGGTATGAAATCTGTGTGTCATGTTTGGTGTAAAATCTTGTCACCTTTTCTCACTTGCTAGCCTCTGTCAAGGTCACTTACAAAACTGTCCTTGAAACCTATGTTCCTCGTGTCTGTTTTACCAGTAAACTCCCAGGGAAGCAGGGGATTCTATTGACCCCCCTGGAAACCTGGCCCCGCCTTGGTTGTGTGACCATTTTTCTGTGGTAAGTGTTGCCCTGGAGGTGACCTGCAGCTGTTGTAGACAACTTTAATGTTGGCTTTGGAACATTATCATGATAAAATGTTGTGGTTTTACACAGAAGTTAATGCTAAGATCTTATGTACAAACATCATGTTGAGAGCTGACTCAAAGCGAATGTTGTCTGTCGGCAGAAGAGAAATGACAAGTGCTGCGTCTTCTTTCTTTTTGTGAATTATTGGACAGGGTTGGAAAAATTTCAGTTAGGTTAAAGTGCAAAAATTTTGTGAGGTACTGATGACAATCAATTAAGGTAATTAGGTCACCTTTTTAGGGACTCTAAATTAGAAAAGACATTGATGTCATTAGCCTGGATAGAGACTTTAGAGGAATGGCACCGGGCTCTTGTTTTCTGCCTTCATTTGTTCATCTTTGTCTATAGAAGTCACTTTGTCACAATTAGCTGTTCTCAAGGGCTCTGTACAGGCCACCATTATAACACTAATTCTGAACAGCATATGTTTTAGGGGAGTCCATCAGACTTTTTCACTCTGTAGATGATTTCTAAGAAGTAGAATCAATGAATCATACAGCAATTACAAAACTAGTATGCAAGGTAATTATTTAATGTCAAACCAGAAATGGAACATTTTTCCTGATCAGAATTAGTCACATTGATATTGATACTGACTGATACCTTGAGGTCAGGTCATGGCTTTAAGTTACCTATAATGTGTGATTAAATTTAAAGTATGAAATATTTACAGCGAAATTCATGATTCATCATAAAAATATGCAGCTAATTTAGACCAAAAAAACATAGTTTGTCTTTTCTTTTAAGAAGTGGAATGAAAAAAATAAATAACACAAAAGATATACATGAAGTTTGTCATTCACTCAAAGAAAGGTGCTCTCTGTATTGTAAACTTTCATGCTATTTCCTCGCCGACTTCCGGAACTGTCGTATAAGGTGTACTTGTAGCGTGTGCTCTTACGTTTCCATGGATAATACACAATTTTGATGAAGACCCGTCTGAAGCGCTTTCCAAAAACACAGTATAAAATAAAGTTCACTGCAGAGTTGACTGTCACCATCAGGTTACTGATAGAAGTCAAGTGTACATAATGCAGACTGCACTGTAACACTCCCTGATCAAAGATAGTAAACAGAATGTTATCGGCAATGGAGGGGAGTTGACAGATGAGAAAGACGACGATCACAGCGATTAACATGATGGTCAGATTAGCCTCCTTGGCTGCGTTTGTACTCATTCTATTACGAGTCTTTTTGGCATTTTTCACAGCTCTCATCAGCTGAATGTTCAGTATAGATATTAGGACGAATGGCGCGAGGAACATGACTATCAGATGCAGACAGATGAAGTAGACTTTTCTAAAGTCTTTGTTATTTCCAAGGGTCGTAGTCATTACCTCTGGCACTGAACGGTTCAGATTGGGGTTCCAAGTCTCCACAACTGTGAATTCAAAAAATCGAGGCACATTGTAAATAACTGAGCAGACAAAAATCAAAATAATAATTCTCTTGGTCCGAGACTTAGTACAGGTGTTGGCTGCCTTGAGCGGATGACATACTGCAATATATCGCTCTATTGTGAAGCCCACTGTTGTGTACACAGTTCCTGTTTGAGCGACCAGAGCCAGAGGGTACAGATACTGGTTCATGTATTTAGAAGCGAAGAAGTAGTCCATTAGTTGTGCCTTTTCTAGGTAAATCGTAGGAAGTGCAAACAGGAGAATCATAGCCAGCAGAACTCCAGTATCGTAGACGGCAAGAGAAATCAGGTAGTACGATGTGGAGCTCCTCATCAGACGGTGCCGCAGAACCAGGATTGCCAAGATGTTTCCAATGATGCCATAGGCAGCTATGATATTGCCCACTATTCCCCAGGTGTAAAACTGGAATGTGATGGCTTTATCGTAGATTTCAAAGCACGAGTCCTTGGGGCCTCCTTCGGGGGTACTATTTGTCATGTTTGGCTGGGTCATGTTAATGGTTAGAACTGGCTGCAGTGTGTCCTCTTCCATCTAAGAGGTTTAGATATCACCTGCAAATGTAAACAAAAAAGCAATAACCCATACTGACAACTACAATCAAAATTTTACAGTCATGTAGACAGAAAAGATCAAAAAGAGATGCTTGCCAAAAACTTGAACTGATATTTCATTGACATTGGAGAGAAAGATAAGAGAGAAAGAGAAGTAGGCTGGGCTTGTAGCACCTGAATATATAGAATCAAGAGCATGTAAATATCAGGTATAACTCAGATTTTTTTGGTTTTATGATGATGATCAAGCAGTTGGCTTGCTTGATAATTTAGGCTTATTGTTTAATGATCATTCTCAGTAAATCTGTCAGTTTAATTAAATGAAAGACTCAGCTCAAATATACCTCACAGAGAGCCCAAATGTTGTCTGTCTCTACAGAATGCAGTTTTAGTTGCTAAAAGTTAATTAAAAGCAGAGTGGAATAGGAACTTTTAAATCTGCCAGTTTGCTTGTTTTTTTCCAAAGTGCCAATTTCTCCAAAACCTCTGCGTGCTGGTGATGTTAAACACAAAATTAATTTTGGACAGCCTAAAGCTTCAATTCATACTTTAGTTAGTTGTCATTAACTGTAAAACTTCCTTTGAGATGACATTAACTGCTCTAATTTATAAAAAGAGTGATAGCCAGCATCTTCCTTTTTTAATAGAAATTATGGTGAGCTTTTTCTTTACCAAAAAATATGAATACATGTATATGGAAGAAATCAAATTTCCTAGCCATGGGATAGTGAAGTATGATGTAGTGTAGTATGTGTGGACTGCAGTATTCCGTGACAAGTATGCCTTGATGAGTTGATCCCCCTACCATCAGTTCCGGATTTCCTGGTCTCCCAGTCCACCACTTGATATTATTGGTACGCGGAACAGAGAGATAGCAGATTAAGCTGCCTATTTCTTCAGGCTTTCACTCTCTTAGAAATGGAACCTCAGATATCGGAACAAATAATCTGTTGATGCTCCTATATTGTCTTATTATTGATACTGCAATTTTGCATTTGAGCTGTTATGTTGGTCATTATTTGGAAAAAACGGGGCAAATCTGGAATTTTAACTAACTGAATATGATAAATCTCTTGTGCATGATTTGTAGACAGATGTACAGTAAAGTTTTTAACCTTGGAATGGAACCTGTGTGAAATCGGGCAAACACCTGACATGGCTGCTTTGTCTGGTTCCCTCTAATCTGATAACTTCTAAATCTCCAAACCCTTCACTGTTATGGGCCCTGGTGTAATCTAGTTTAGATGCTCTCTCTAATACTACTTCAGATTGATTGATCTCTGAAGGAGGCCAAAGACCGAGTTTTTTCACTGTTAACTATGGAAGACAAGATTTTTTTGCGTTAATTATCCACTCGAAACTGATGCAATTTTTTCAATTTGTTCATTTCAAGGATATATGGATAATGCTCTATAAAGATCAGTCAAGAAAAAAATAATGAAATTAATTTTTTTGCTTTTAATATTTTTGATTTTTTAAAGTCATTAAAGATATGCTGCATATTAACAACTTCAATACATATCCTTTGATTATGAGTATTAAAGTTGGTTAATTGGAGGAGTCAATATGCTAGGTGGTAAAGTTATTGACCTGATGAAAACCCCCAGATCACACAGTGTTTTGAGGATGTGGTACAAGTACTCCAATTAGCAAACATTTGTACCTGAATTAAATGTTTTCATTAAATATAGGTAAACAGTGTTAGATGAGATCTCCATCCATCTTTTTTCTGACAAGTGGGTGCCCACCTGTTTTAGGTGATGATTTATTTACCAGAGGAGAACCGCATCCCTGGGAGCCACCCAGAGGTTGTGTGACGTGTCAGAGCCATAGTCGACCTCCGCAGCTTCACGCTTCACTGACAAATCCATATTCCCATCCCTATCAGACTCCTGCCACTCGGTGCACCATTTTACATGCTAACTTGTGGAAGTATTTACATTTTTCTGGCAGTGAATTTCATCAGTTATACTTGAGATCTATCTCTATTTCTTTTGTTGTCTACACTTTGTCATAAAACACTTAAAGAGATAATTATTTGTACTTAACAGTTATGTTTGTTTGGTTTTTATTTTATCTTTCCCGTATGCTGTCAAGCAGAATTAGTCATGTTTTAATCTTGGCATTAATTTTATTAGTATACGTATTAAATGAAAGCTGAGTTAAACCATTAAAAGTGATTAAGAGAAAGTCACATAAAATAGATAATTATCAGAACATCAGCAAATGCATCCAAATAAAAATGTTCAAAGGGTTACAGAAGGTCATATCGAAGTATTTAGATACAGCTGATGACTATATCAGTTCTCACATCAAAGTATTTAAATGTGTCATAAGTCTTGGATTTGATTGCTTAGCTTTAGGGGACTTGTGCATTTGCTGCAAATTAGGTATCACAGCATTTGCATGAAATTGACATGGCATTGGTGTGAATCTGCATCATTAATGAAGGCCGTTTTCTTTGAGGGATAAACAATAGTTGATTTTTTTCATTTAAAGGAAAATGAGTAGCATGCAAGGCTGATCAGCAGGAATTAAGCCATCTATCTTATGTGGTCAAAGAACTCAATCAAATTCCAGGAAAGTTCCACTCCATTCATCACCTCCCATTAATTACGCTTTCTTCTATTATTTTCTAAAGCTGTTTTGTCTGAATCCTGAGGTGTACAAAATAAATCCAGGTAGCATGACTCCAATCAAATGAATGTGTACAACATGTAGGCAAAACAAAAGCTGAATGAGAAATTGAGCACACATGATTGAAAGCTAGAAAACCTATAGCATGTAATGGTTGCCAATATCTGCATGAACATGAGCTAGAGAGGCAGCATCACTCTTCTGGAAGGAAGTCGCGATTTCATCGGCCACTGCTTGCTGTGAGTTTTCCCTACTTTAGACATTCAGTTTTTCCTTGAACTGTCATGGAAAGAACGGCTTCCTTAGTAGTCGGCCTATTGCTTCAAATTCATCACAAGGAACAATTTGAAGACAATCATGCATTGATTCTTGAGCTTTAATCATTTTATTAAGGAGAGATTTTTTTTTGCTTCTTGCATCTTCAGTCTTGGCTTTTAGATTCAATATGTAGGGTAATAAAATGAATGAAAAAACTATTGATTTAGTAATTAAGAAAAAAGAATTTATAAATCAAAAACATAAAACTCAAAGCTTTTATGAAAGAGGTGTTACAGTAATTATTTTAATCCAGCTAGCTTGTTTGTCAAAAAGTAATAGGGCAGTGTGTTTTATATTTTGAAAAAAGGAAGAACACAGTTTCATCATAAGAGGAAGGGAAAACAGTTCCTGTACATTTTGATATACCTAACATATTTTTCTATTATAAAGAGCAGCATATTTATGATAAATTGAAGATGGTGACAATTTGGACATCTGAATCTGAAACATTTTATACCTCTTTTTATCTTATCTATGTACATACTCATAACTGCTTAAGGATTCATTTGATAAAAATATGATGATATTAAAATTGATCAAAAAGTGCATTACTCTGTAATAATATGATTTTTGAGATCAATAAGAGTAATTGGTTGTTGAAGGTTGTTTGACAGTTTTCCACGTCAGATACACAGGAAGTTGAGGACCTCCGAGGATCAGATTGTTGTCTTTCCAGCTGTTTCGGACACCAGGACAGCTCAATCTCGCCACCACAATCCTGCATTAACATTTTTTAAGCGGCTATAGATTTTTTTTTTACCATGTGTCTAATGGACCGAGAAAAGGCATAATGAAATCAAGCCCTAAATGGGGAATTCATTGCAGATATAAATGGCCTGATCACATTGAGGGATCTGGGAGGCAGTGGGGGAATTAGACAGGAAATTACCTGTACTGTATCAATAACCCTCATACCATTAAAGTACAGAAAAAAATGTTTAAAAAAAATAGCATTATCAGAACTTGAGAATATAGGGAAAAAATTGTGGGATTACTTAGCAGTAGTCAATTAAAAGGTTGTTGTTTATGTTGAACGGGTAATGCATGTTGATAAAATGACAGGGATGAAATATGTGAAGTCCAATCACCTATGGTTTATTTTCAAGGTTTTTTTTTTTACCATGATGATACATGTATTTTGGAGGAGTTATCTGTGGCTCCCCAGGAGTCAGAGATCATATTTCACAAGAATGTCATGCATCTGCCTCACTATCACTTATAATCATTAAATAAAGGAAAATATTGACAGTTTTAGGTCCATGTAAGAAGGAGTGATTTATAGGCAAAAAATGGGAATCGTATTTTTATAATCGACAGGTGGACTTACTATGGTACAACAGCAATTCATTTTTATTTCAATATTTGTGAAGTTTGCAAAACAGAGGATAGATAATTTTGTATTTTAATGAAATAAATTACCGGTATACTTCTCTTTCCTCTGGAATTTTTCAAGTAAATTTTGATAATAAATAAAAAGTATGATATAGGACTTATTTGTATAATAATTTTAAAAAATTTGGTGGTTAATTGCAATCAAGATTTGTAGATTTCCTTCAAGATTTTTGACATAAAATAATTTTATGAATGACCACAATTTTTTTTTTTTTAAATTGGGCCACTTTGATGTGCTGAAATTTCCAGAGGTGAAATCATTTTTCTTTGGTTTACAACCTGACCCTGACCACATAAAACCAAACGTAAATGTTTTTGACAAATGATGATTTACCATAAAAGCACAAAACTTCAATCAAAGCCAAACTGTTAGACACAACCTTGAATCATAAAACGTAAGGTCAGATGTGAAGATACACACAGGTAATTGGCTGATTAATAGACATTAAAGCTTGTTAATTCAGATACAGAAGTAGTTTTTCTTTTAATTCTTTTAATGCAAGAATCTGGCTCTAGCTCCTGGCATACAAGTAAGGGAATCGCTTCACTGACCCAAGACGCCGGAATGGCTGGAATGGACATTATTAAAAAGCCATCAAACTAGATTAATTTGAGGATTAAGGTTAAACCTTTTAATTCCTAAAACT